GTCAACTAGCCTGAGTGCAGTTCACTGGTAGCATGCTGAACCTCTCAGATCTACACCTGGTATGCCAGTATATTAGCTCTAGGTAAAATAATGGAAAACCGAGTGAAGGTGGTGTGTGTAACGGCAAGTTGTCCAGTGTAGTGGTGTGCATCAGGTCTTGTGTGACTGTAGGTAATACGTATCTGTGGTCGTGTGTGAATGTAGGTAGTGCGTATCTTTGTGTGAATATTGGCTGGTCGTTTATGCGAATGTAAGCTGTGGGTATCTGTGGTCTTGTGTGTGAATGTAGGTAGTGCTCGTCAGTGGGCTTGTGTGTGAATGTAGGTAGTGCTTATCAGTGGGCTTGTGTGTGAATGTAGGCAATGTGTATCCCTGGCTTTGTGTGTGAACATCTACCTCAGAAACTGCCGCCTGAGTCATGAGTCATTAGGGGTAATCCGGAGGGAATAAAACGGTGTAGGCGAGTGTATATTGTGCGAGCAACGAGGTGTCAATAGTAGCGTGAGAGGCTGACAATTGGTGTCCCCGGGCGCCAAGTGATTGTGAGGAAGGTTTGGTTGGCGCGCCACTCAGCTCGCTGCAGGGCTAACCCGGCCACGGCTGGGCCCAGACAGGCAGGAAGGTGAATGTAGGGTCAAGGTTGAGAGATTTAAGCTTTGCAGTCCTTGAACTAGGCTCACCCTATATCCGGACACTTATTTCATACTTCACTGGCATTTGTTTCTCCGGTTTCTTGACCAGTGGGTACAGGACGGGCAAATAAATGCTGTCACATTGCTAGTTTAGTAGTTGGTCACCCTGTATCCGGTTCCTTAACCGTACACCTTTCTAGGAAAGCCTCGCCCAGGATCAGGAAAGGAGCAACAAAAAGGTGAGCCCAGGGCATGGCGTGGGAAGGTGACGGGAATGATGGGGAAGGTTGGTGCATGGGGGGGGGGGTTATTATGACCGGATGTGAGAGAGACTTGGCTCTCGTTAGTAGATATCTGAATACAAGACAACGGTGCGCTAGTTAGTGCTTGCGTCAAGGCTAATTCGCTAGGCTTCATATCAGGAATTAATAGTCATGGATCAACTGAAAGACCAGCTTAGAAGGATGGAGAAGTTAATAACCTGTGCCTGTATTAGGAATCTTGACTGCAAAAAAAAAAAAGTACTGAAAGATCAAGCTCTACAAATGGGTTAAAATTTGATACTCAAGAGTTAAAAGATAAAGGAGTTCCATACAAGTTTAATAATATGGCAAGTAGTATCACTGAATCAAGAGCATGGATAGCCTAAAAACTAGGTAAGACGAAAATAGGAGTGGGAAACATAGTTGGTTGTTTGTGTAGCAGTCAGTACAATAATGGTATACAGTACCCACAAGATGAAGATTAAGATAAGTGTGCCGCACCTGGGTATATTTATCTGAAAAAGGATATAGATACCCACGTTCAATACCCAGGTGTTGAGCCAGTCTAATTCCCCATCGTGTCTGGCATGGGCTAGTAGGCCTACAGCAGTGATGGTTAGTGGTCATATGGGAGGGCATCATCACTGCCGTCAGTTTCTTTATACATACATGCCAAGTGAACCCGTGTATTATGTTGTATGTGATAGGTAAATTGTAAGAACGGAGGATAATTTTGTCATTCAGTTACATTATCATCATGGGGGAGGCGCTAAACCCATAGGGGGGCGCCTGTGGGGGATGGAAGCCATTGAGGCTCAATTCAGGGAGCTGGAGCACAAATCCAGTTCCCTAGATCAAGAATACCTCAGCAGCATCAAGGAACCTCCCTTGAGGGGGGGGGGATATTCCGTTACAAGATGGATTGCATACATGACCTAATGAAATCTGCGAGTCTGAGCTGAGACTTAGGTAGGAGGATGAGGATATCAGGTATTGCAACATGGGTACACTTTAATAATAAATTTTGTTCTTTTGCAACGAAACCCTTGAAGATTGTTTTAGTGTTTGTGTGGGAGGATGGTGATGGTTTAATGGCTGGGAGTATTTGCATTGTAAAATTTAAACATTTATAGCCTTCGTTATGGTTGTGGTGGTTGTGTAACTGGGATGAAAATCTCTGGACTGTGCGATATTTTAATTATTATTTTCAGTATTTATTATTATTCTGAGGTTGTGTAAGGAAATGTGCTTTGGGTTAAGTTAAGGAACGCTGATAAATTAGACACATATGCAACACTTGGTTATATTTACTGAGGAAACGTTTTGCCACACGGTAGCTTCATCAGTCCATCCAAAGGAGAATGGTGCAGAACAGGAGTAGTTTGAGGTAATCAGTCCCGCAGCCTTGAGTCGACGTAGTCAATCCATCAATCTTGAAAAGAATACAGCGCATGTGCGAAGATGTAGCTTATATACCGTAGGCAGCAGTCGTAGGTCTACCTGGAGGTTATTCCGGGGATCAACGCCCCCGCGGCCCGGTCCACGACCAGGCCTCCCGGTGGATCAGGGCCTGATCAACCAGGCTGTTACTGCTGGCCGCACGCAGTCCAACGTACGAACCACAGCCCGGCTGATCCGGCACTGACTTTAGGTATCTGTCCAGCTCTCTCTTTAAGGCAGCCAGGGGTTTATTGGTAATTCCCCTTATGCTTGGTGAGAGGCTGTTGAACAGTCTTGGGCCCCGGACACTTGTGGTGTTTTCTCTTAGTGTACCAATGGCGAACATTTGACCAATGTGGAAGTAGGTCATGCCTAAGGATTAGACAAGTGAAGAATTCCCTGTATTAAGATCCATTCATCTACATTAAGAAGCGCTGTTGATGGGAAGATGACACTTAGGCTGTCTCTTCATAAATGCTAGTACATATATCAATACAAACTGGCATATAAGTGGGAAATGGTAAAAATGATACCTATTTTCAAAGCAGGTGACAGATCCTTAGCTTTGAACTATAGACCAGTAAGCTTACCCTCCATAGTGGGAAAATTTATGAAATCAGTAATTGCCGAGGCAATTCGTAGCCATCTTGAAAGGCATAAATTGATTAATGAATCTCAGCATGGTTTTACAAAGGGGCGTTCCTGCCTTACGAATTTATTAACTTTTTTCACTAAGGTATTTGAGGAGGTAGATCATGGTAATGAATATGATATTGTGTATATGGACTTCAGTAAGACTTTTGACAGGGTCCCACATCAGAGACTGTTGGGAAAAATTAAGGAACACGGAATATGAGGAGAAATTTTTTCCTGGATATATGAATGGTTGACAGATAGGCAGCAGAGAGTTTGCATAAATGAGGAGAAATCAGAGTAAGGAAGCGTCACGAGCGGTGTTCCACAGGGGTCAATGTTGGACCCCCTGTTGTTCACAACCTACATAAACAACATAGATGAGGGAATAAATAGCGACATAAGCAAGTTTGCCGATGACACCAAAATAGGCCGTCGAATTCATTCTGACGAGGACATTAAAGGACTCCAGGAAGATTTGAATAGACTGATGCAGTGGTCGGAGAAGTGCAGATGCAGTTTAATATAGACAAATTCAAAGTTCTAAACATTGGGCAGGAAAATAACCATGCCACATATAAACTAATTAATGTAGATCTTAATATTACTGATTGCGAAAAGGATTTGAGTGTTCTGGTTAGCAGTAATCTGAAACCACAACAGTGCATAAGTGTTCGCAATAAGGCGAACAGAATTCTTGGCTTCATATCAAGAAGCATAAATAATAGAAGTCCTCAGGTTGTTCTTCAACTCTGTATATCCTTGGTTAGGCCTCATTTAGATTATGCTGCACAGTTTTGGTCACCGTATTAAAGAATGGATATAAATGCTCTGGAAAACATAAAAATGAGGATGACAAAGTTGATCCCATGTATCAGAAACCTTCCCTGTGAGGATAGACTGAAGCCCTGAATCTGCACTCTCTAGAAAGGCGTAGAATTAGTGGGGGATACGATTGAGGTGTATAAATGGAAAACACGAATAAATAAAGGGAATGTAAATAGCGTGCTAAAATTATTTAGCCAAGACAGGACTCGCAGCAATGGTTTTAAGTTGGAAAAATTCCGATTCAGGAAGGATATAGGAAAGCACTGGTTTGGTAATAGAGCTGTGGATGAGTGGAACAAACTCCTGAGTACAGTTATAGAAGCTAAAACATTGTGTAGTTTTAAAAATAGATAAATACATGAATGGGTGTGAGTTGGACCTGACTACCTTGTGCTAATAGATCTGATGCCGTGCTCCTTCCTTAGGGAATGTGCCCTGACACTACTAGGTTGGGTCATTGGCTTGAGCTGGTGGGGGACTTGGACTTGCCTTGCATGGGCCAGTGGGCCTGCTGCAGTGTTTCTTATGTTCTTATTGGTAAACCCGGAGTGTGACCTGTACGACACACTCTTGTACTGAGTGTCGTTGTGTAGTTCATGTTCTGTTAGATTTCCACACATTGAAATTTAACAGAGCAACGCTTCCGTTTTTAAGAGATACGGTAATGTGTTTTTATAGATGTGGGATATATGTGCTGCCTGATTCTATTGGCGATTCTGTCAGAACCTGGAAGAGTCCGGCCTGGTTCAAGTAAGTAAAATTTTACAGATGTGGCATTGTTCTTGGGTATCCAAAACACTGAGGCTAAATATTGGCAGAAACTGATAGGGTTTTTAGTGACCTGCGGGAGAGGTGGATTAATATTCGCATGTTTTCTTTGCGTGCATCACATTCTCAGAGCATGACAGCCAGAGAGTTTCACAGCCTAAATTTATGTAAGCACAAACCCAGTCGTTCTGGGTTGTTCCAGCAGTCCTGGTGTTGTTCCAGTGATGTTGATATCTTGTTCCACTAGTTTTGGTATCTTGTTCCAGCAGTGCTGTAACTTGTTCCGGTAGTGCTGATACCTGGTTCCACCAGTTTTGGTATCTTGTTCCACCGGTCTTGGTATCCTGTTCTACCAGTCTCGGTATCTTGTTCCATCAGTCCTGGTGTCTTGTTCCAGTAGTGCTGTGATCTCGTTCCAGCAGTGCTGGTAGCTTGTTTTGGCAGTGCTGGTAGCTTGTTTTGGCAGTGCTGGTAGCTTGTTTTGGCAGTGCTGGTAGCTTGTTCTGGCAGGGCTGGTA